ATGTTGTGTACTGTACTTCAGTATCTGCGAGTGTGAGCATTGAGTATACTGTCCATCTACAAGCAGATCTGTTACTATAATGAACATCTTTCAAACCTATATCGAAATTCTGCTCTCAATGTGTCATAAACAAACTTTCTAGATCTTTACGAGGAAATTTTCATTCATATTCAGAATATGAATGAAATAATAAAATGGTTTAGTGAAGATCATTGCAGAATTTTGTTTTTGATTCTATATGAAACTCGATGGTTCGCATTTTTATTAAGATTTACAACTGATTTAGCCTTTAATCCAGATAATAATCGATGAGATAATCCATCATCAAGATTGTAGTACGCATCTTCTTAGAATACGTTTGAGAATTATAATTTTTCTGAACGACCTCTTAATGTAAGCTTGGTTCAAAAGTCGTGAACACTTACATACACTTCACCAAAGATAATTATGAATAACATAGAAATTGTCAAATCTGATTCTCGGAATAATATTCGTTTCATGATGAAATCGTGACTACTGATGACGAATTGAAACAAGAATAGAAAAACTGAGAGATGGAGATGTGTTTATTAGGAGAAATTTGTAGTAACAATAGTGATGTAAAAGCGATACTTATGACAAGTGCTTGGCATATTGATACTGACGATATTCTCACATGGCATAAACTGTTTTGTTAATAGATTCGAGATTTCGGTTCATTTGATAATGATCAAAAGGTACACTATGGACAGATTTTTTTGGTATTCTCTCAATCTTTAGAATGTCAACAGTCAGTTTTAAAATAATATGAATCTCACCAGACAAACTTTAAAAATCTATTGCAAGAATGTATGTTAATAATGAGGAAAATAAGCATTTTTGATCCTTGTTATTTTCGATATCATCTTGTCAACATCTTGCATCTACTTACATATATTAGATACAACTTTTAACCTCATCTTATGTTGTATGAACTGTACTCAAGGAAGACAAATACAGTCGAAAGTCAGTATTTGTCTTGTCCTCTTCTCTTCAGGTTTTTGACTTCTCTATCACTTTCTAGTACAATGGTATCTAAGATATAATTGTTGCACGAATTTTCAAACTTTATCAGACAAAATTAATATTCGTACTAATTTGCGGGTTTGAGCTTTTATGAGGGAAAATGTTTCTTTGTTTTTTCCTGTGCCAACGATACGTTTTTGACAATGTTCAAATTTTTAAATTTTTGTTTGTTGTATAGATTGTTTAAATAAATCGATGTTGACTTAATTAAATTATCAAGAAGAATTCGACGAAAATTTGTTAGATGTAATATAATTAAATGGCTTAAAATATAAAAATCTTTTATTTGTTGAAATTAAAATAACATTCGAAAATCTCCTATTTAAATCATAATAAAGCCTAAGAATTCAATCAAACAACTAGTTTTACAGCTTTTGATGATTCTGATAAATGTATTAAAAGCGAGAATATGCTCTAAGGCGCCCATGATTTGCTAATGTGTGATTGCTTTAAATATAGTAATGAGCAAGAATATGTGGATATGTATGGATTTGGAAACGGATCTTCTCTTTATCTACAATCACATACCATATTAGCATGCAATACATCATACATATATTACTTCACTGACAACAGGAGCTATGTTCTCTTTGTCGATCTTTGTCCTTCACTGAATCAATTTCAGACGATCTGAAAGAATAATTGAGCTTTTAACAGAATAATTCAATTTTGAAATATGCACCTTAAAAGTTTTTTCATTTTTAGTTTGTGCTATTCGAAATGAAAGTATTTTGTGCAAAGATTCACGTCAAAAGAAAATAAGAGTGAAAAGTCTGTCTCGAGATGCATTTTTACGTATAGGTCTGCTCGTGTTGATGAGTTTGTTATGTATTTGAGTATTTTTTGAATTTTTAACTGTTCTATAAGATAAAAAGAGATAATAAGTGCTACCCAATCTGTTTGTAGAGAATAATCACTCAAGCGATGCACGCATTATCAAGTAGAATATATTAATCGTACTTGAACAATTCTCATAGATATGCAACAAAAAAAGTCGATGTGAAGACTTAACCAAGTCTCATGAAAGAAGTATAGACCAAGAGTATGCAACACTTTATAAGAAGAAATTAACTGAATTGATCGAAAAGACGAAAAGGATCAGCTCATAATAAAAACTATCCTGTATAATCTTAGCAGACATAATGATGGCTGCAGATTATAAAACGTCGTTAATCATATTGTCCAAATTATTTTAATGAAAAAATAGAAAATGAAAACATTACGATAAGAACTATTATCGTACATTTTATGAAGAGTGTTTATTTTCGAAATCATAAGCCATATGCTGTTGGATGCTACTCACATACTGACGTGTGCTAGTAGTGCTTAACGGCATGTATGTACCTCGTTCTGTTGCTTGACATCGATAATAATTATGGTGTGATGATCGATAAGCAGTTTCTGATGGATAGCGATATTCAAGATCTTGAATTAACTTTTGACAAAATGGATCTTGTGCAGATATACTGGCCTTGATCTTGTTTACTTGAGCTTCGAGAATAGCACGTGATTCTCGGTAATCATATTCAGTCATGGCTTTTGCGAGTGCATGAGTAGTTTCTACACGATTTCGTTGAATGTCAAGTTCATGATTGACACAAAACAGATCTGTTGGAGGATGAGAACCTCGAACCAAATTGAAAGAAACTGGATCTGTCGTTATTGTGTGACGAGTATTCGGATCAATGTAGGTGACGGTCACATTACCTAGTCAAAAAAAAAACAATTGAGCAGTGATGGTAATGTCCGACTCAAGAAAGAAATCGGTTCTTGCTGATATTTACCAATGATTTGATTTTCAAATAGTTGTATTTCTTCTGAAGATTGAGTCAATGATATTGATTCTTGACTATTCATATCAACATTTTGTTCATTATTGTTCAATTTAGGTACATGCAATTGAAAAACAAAATTTCGTTTCTCTTCGGCATTCAAATCATGTAATTTAACATCAAGTTTTCCTGAAGGTAATTGTTCAGGTTCATATTTATATTTTGAATGAACATGAGTGACCTTATAGTCTCCAGTGAATTCAATATTGATATGAACT